GTAGTTTTCAAACAGCTAACTGATAATTTGCAGAGGAATGGCTTATTGGAAGAGTTTGAGTCAGGTGTCAGAGCTCATCACAGCACAGAAACAGCTTTAGTGAAGGTTACAAATGATCTTTTTATGGCCTCTGACAGTGGACTCATCTCTGTGCTTGTCCTGCTAGACCTTAGTGCAGCATTTGATACTGTTGACCATAATATTCTATTAGAGCGATTAGAACATGCTGTAGGTATTACAGGTACTGCGCTGCAGTGCTTTACATCATATCTTTCTAATAGACTCCAGTTTGTGCATGTAAATGGAGAGTCCTCTTCACACACTGAGGTTAATTATGGACTTCCACAGTGTTCAGTGCTAGGACCAATTCTGTTTACACTATACAGCTCAAATAATTAGCAAAGCGCTATTGACTTCATGAACTTCTACACAGATGAAATTTTAACTATTAGAGAAAAAAATTAATCATAATCATCTCACAGATGTAACATTATCTACAACTTCTTTCAGTACCATTGATATTCATTTAGAGTCTCTTTCTCCAATTGATCTTTCTGAGTTAACTTTAGTAATTATTTCCTGTTTCAGAGTGACTCTGACAAACTAGTTGATGCATTTATTACTTCCAGGCTGGACGACTGCAATCCATTATTATCAGGATGTCCTAAAAAACTCCCTGAAAGCCTTCAGTTAATCCAAAATGCTACAGCAAGAGTACTGACAGGGACTAGGAAGATAGAGTATATTTCTCCTATACCCGCGTCCCTTCATTGGCTCCCTGTTAAATCCAGAATTGAATTCAAAATCCTCACTTACAAGGTCTTCAATAATCTGGTCCAATCTTATCCTAATGACCTGATAGTACCATATCACCCCATTAGAGCACTTCACTCTCGCACTGCAGGCTTACCTGTTGTTCCTAGAGTATTTAAAAATAGAATGGGAGGCAGAGCCTTCAGTTTTTAAGGCCCCACTTCTATTGAACCAGCTTCCAGTTTGGATTTAGGAGACAGACACTATCTCTACTTTTAAGATTAGGCTTCAAACTTTCCTTTTGCTAAAGCATATAGTTAGGGCTGGATCAGGTGACCCTGAATCCTCCCTTAGTTATGCTGCAATAGGTATAGGCTGCTGGGGGATTCCCATGATGCACTGAGTACTTCTTCTTCACTCACTATGAGTTAAAAGACCTCACTGCATTGAATCATACTTGTTGTTAATCTCTGGCTCTCTTCCACAGCATGTCTTTTGTCCTGTCTTCCTTGTCTCTCCCTAACTGGTCGTGGCAGATGGCCGCCCCTCCCTGAGCCTGGTTCTGCTGGAGGTTCTTCCTGTTAAAAATGAGTTTTTCCTCCCCACTGTCGCCAAGTGCTTGCTTATAGGGGGTCATATGGTTGTTGGGTTTTTATCTGCATGTATTATTGTAGGGTCTACCTTACAATATAAAGCACCTTGAGGCAACTGTTGCTGTGATTTGGTGTTGTATAAATAAAACTGAATTGAATTGATCTTACTCATTAACCATTTCTGCACATTTCATCAGGACACCTTGTTAAGTCATGTATCCACTTTGCTCAAATGCTGCAGCTGCCACATACATTCTATTTATTACCACTCTATGTCTGCATGCAGGACCAGTTCTCTGTCTCTCTCTCTTTCTCTCTCTCTCTCTCACACACACACACACACACACACACACACACACACACACACACACACACACACACACACACACAACCACACATACACACGCACGTGCAGGCAAACAGACGCACCAGCCCTCACAGACATTCGCACTCATGAAATAGCCACATACGAAAAAGATGAACAGTTGTTCATAAACCTACAGTGTCTGTATGCAAACACATAGCTATGAATACTTGCATACTACCACCCACTCTTTCACTCTCACAAACACAGATATCCCCCACTACCCCTTCAACCAGGTCTCTGCTGGCCTCCTTTCCCAGCCAGTTATGACAATGCTAATGATTCTCACTGGAGCACTGGATGATGGCTGACAGAGCCAACCAGACCAGGACTAGCTGATGATGGAGGGGGAATTGGAGGTTGTAGTGTCTGTGTGTGTGTGTGTGTGTGTGTGTGTGTGTGTGTGTGTGTGTGTGTGTATAAAAAGTGGGGGTTAGAAGACGAGGTCAAGAATGGTGGTGCACACGCTCCTTCTCTGGTGATGTGTTGGGAAGGATGCACCTTTCCCCAGCTCAGTGCTAATTTATTACATTTAAGACAGGGCCTGACACCCTGAATCAGCCTCTATTCAGACCATATTGGCTGGCCAGGGTGGTGGGAGGGTGTGTGTAGCTGAAGGGAGGAAGGGGGAGGTAAACACAAAGGAGGAGAAAGCACGGAGCGGAGAAAACAGAGAGTGACTACATGGAAATTATATGCAATGAAGAGACGTAGCCTCAGGCATGGTGCATGTTTTGCCTGTTTTCTTATAGTTAGTGTATTTATAATTCAAATATATGCCTTTAATAATTTACAGACAGGACATATCAAAAGAAAATGTGTGAGATATTTCTGAGCAATGTGCTGAAAATATTTCACTTTTTAAGCAAACACTTAATCACATGAATGTGATTAAAGGTGATTGCTAACTGAAAATGTGGATACGTTTCATGGTTTAATAATTGATATACTGATTTAGAGTTTATTATACATATTTCTATACATTTTATCAAGTGTGAGAGCAAAATATTTCACTAAGTCTATATCTTATCTGTTTGCTTGTGTGTTCTTTCTCTACAATCAACAACCATCCTTTCAATCCACTTTAAAGTAGGGGCACAGTGAGGATCCTGAGTCAAATCTGGCATCATTTTTATAGTGTGGACTCATTTTTGGGGTTCTTTCGTAAAGGCAAATGGACTGGTTCTTATATAGTGCTTTTCTACACGGTGAATATATGATGTCATGTAATGATGTCAAGGCTGTAAGCTCATGCTTGAATTCTGATCACAGTCCTGGTGACAGAAAGAGTTAGCAATGAAATAAACCTTTGGGAGGTTTTAGAATAGAGCATACAAACAGTAGTTCCATGTAAAGGAAGGCATTCATGTCTGTCAACAGTGGCATGTATCCCTGATGGTGAGGTGTCTGTACAGAGGTCCATTGATCCTGAAAGACAGCACTCAGCACAGCCACAACCTGTTCTTTATTCTGCTTTTTATTTGTGCCTTACCATGTCTGCTGGCTCTATCATTTCTAACTCATCTCTGTCTGACCCAGCAACATTTAATAACTCAGTCAAAGCATCTAACAGCATCACTTAGGGGTGCAGGTAGAGCACGTCATCTACTATTCAGAAGTTTGATGGTTTGATCCCTGCCTGCTCTGGTCTGTATGCCAAATATAGTTAGCAAGATGCTAACCCCAACTATACTAAACCATGCTAACACCTCTGAAGCATCAATCAGAGTGTGAAAATTAGACAGAAACTACTTATGCATTAGCTAAAAAGTGGTTGTATGAATGAGTGAATGAGGCATGTTATATAAAGTGCTTTGTGTGGTCAGACTTTAAAAGAAACACTATTTACCGACTTGTGCAGGTACCACACAGGCAACCTTCAAACATATTGTGTCTGACACAGATGTCTGTAGGCAACTGCCAGTTTAAGGGACTATGTGGTATGGTAAATGGCCTGCATTTGTATAGCGCTTTTCTAGTCCTTAAGGACCCCAAAGCGCTTTACACTACATTCAGTCATTCACCCATTCACACACACATTCACACACTGGCGATAGCAAGCTACATTGTAGCCACAGCTGCCCTGGGGCGCACTGACAGAGGCGAGGCTGCAGGACACAGGCGCCACCGGGCCCACTGACCACCACCATGTGATGGGAAACCAATGTGGACTAATCTCTGGAAAGTTGCTTGTATAGTAAAATCACACATATAATAAAGGCAATTAATATTTTAACGCAAGGCAGTAATGTGTTCAGCACTTGAACTGTTGTTCAGTAAGACTCTTATTCTGTCAACTCAACAGATTGACCTTTGACTTCTGACTTGCACACCAAAAAGGTAAAAAAAAGAATAGAAAATCAATATGAAATAGTATTGAAACTTACACACACACACACACACACACACACACACACACACACACACACACACGTGCGTGTGTACATATACTTGAAGTTATATTTCTTCTACCATACTATCTTTGCATAGTATGGTTCTTAAGTGTACTGCATTTATTTATTTATTTATTCTGCCTTGTCCACTTTGCTGCTACAACAATGTGAATTTCCCATCTCTGGGACTATCTTGCTCTCATCTCTCTCTTCTATTTTGACGGCTCTTCTGCCTCACTGATCGTTTCATCCGATGCAAAGCAAACCTTGAAGCTGGTGGCGTGTCACCGGCTCAGCTTCCTCTAACGGTTTAGGTGCTTGGTCTTCAAAATAAAAGCACGGAGACTAAACTTTGTGGCTATATATGCTGCAACTGATTTCGAAATTGAAAATTATCAAGTGCGGTCCATGTGTGTGGCCCTCAAATGATTTCCCATAGAACCGTCGTAGTGTACATAGAACCAGCTGTACACTTAGAACTACTTTCCTTGTTTGATATCGTGAGCAGCACTGAATTTATTTGACTCTGACACGTTTAATAAAAAACAAAAACAAAATACAGTTCCGTGTAAAAGGAAGTTCCATTTTAGGGATATTGTAAAAAAATGCAGTAGCTGGAGGGTTGGGGTATGAACTACTGTCCAGTGGCAGTAGGTAACATTCTTTTCATTTCTTGTTTAATTTGAAGACTTAACTGATGTAGAAGATGAATAAGAAGAATAAGATGATCTCTCTTAGACTTGAGCAGTTTTGTCCAGAGTCCTTTCTCCTGCTCCTAAGGCGATGAATGAATGAATGCATTTCGTGGCGTTTTATTTCGAAATCAGTGACCCTATAAAAACATTTAAAACCTCGCAGATTTCGCAGAAGGCTGGGGGCGGGTCCGTCAGCGCCGTGTTCTAAAGCGGAGTGGACCTGCGGACAGTGAGCGTGTTGGCGCGCAGAGGCGTGGGCATAGGGACGCAGTGAGACCAGAGATCGGCGCATTCCCGCGACAGGCACAGCAAAGCTGGGAACAGCATCACAGTCGCAGATCTGGCAAAGCGGTACCACGGGAACGTGTCAGTGTGCGCGAGGACGTGTGCCGTCTTACTCCCATTAACTCCGGACTCCATGCTACAAAAAAGGACACGGTTGCAGTTCCTTCGTGGATTCAAAAGTTTAAAACTTAACTAGTTATCCGCTCCAGGCTCCTGTGTACACGCGTGGTGACTGCGCACGGACATGGCGCAAAGGGTACGTCTAACGACCATTATTTCAATTGTTTGCACAATGACAGTCCACTTAATCACTAGTCACATTACATCCTTGAAAGAAACCTGAGGAACCTTTGAAAAACGTCATGAAGTTGCTATACTTATCAAAAAATATCAAATATGTTTTTTTTTTATCATGAAATCATCAATGTCGACTTTGAAATTTTCCTCTTATGTTCGTGCACTGACGGAACTCTAACTTTCACTCCAGTATGATGAGCTGACTCATTACGGAGGCGCGATGGACGGAGTCCCCGGCTCCATGTACGGAGACCCGCACGCACCCCGGCCCCTACCGCAGCTCCACCACCTGAGTCACGGGGCTCCCCCACACCCGACACAGCACTACGGAGCCCACGCTCCGCACAACATCATGGGCAGCTCCGTCAGCGACGCACTCAAGAGAGACAAGGACCAAATCTACGGGTGCGGACACAGCAGCAAACATTATTATTATTATTATTAATGTGCAGATTTGTGTTATAGAAAAAGGCGTAAGTTATTATTGTTTGTGTGCGATCAGCCTCTGAACAGTTTCATCTAAATTTCGGAAATTAAATATATTCAGTCAATGTACGTGTTGCAGCTCGTGTTGAGCTCGTTTTTGGGTGTCTACAGGTAGTTGGCGGCGGACGGATGAAATCCTCTCTGTGTATTAATATATTTGATATTTCAGTGGCATTAAGGAGGAAGACATAAATATGCGTGACAGGGCCGAGCGCTGGTTTGATGCTTCATGTGTAGGCCTCTGCGGCCTGTGCTCCTGTGTGTTGCAGCCACCCTTTATTCCCTCTGCTGGCTCTGGTGTTCGAAAAGTGCGAGCTGGCGACCTGCACGCCCCGAGAGCCCGGTGTGGCGGGAGGAGACGTCTGCTCCTCAGATTCCTTCAACGAAGACATCGCTGTGTTCGCAAAGCAGGTAGAACACACAAGCGAGAAACCAAGTGTCACCATTGCGCTCAGCACACGGCACTCTGCGTGTCACCGTGATGGAGGGAACTCCTGAAAAGTGGAAATGGAATCAGGTCCACAGCATTTACTCACGCACTCGGTTTCCTTTTGCTCTGCAGATCCGCGCAGAGAAACCTCTGTTCTCGTCTAACCCAGAGCTGGATAACCTGGTGAGCTCACCTTTCATTCTCTGCTGTCCACGCGCAGTAGGGCGTTACAGAAGTGTCCGCCCGCGTCAAACGCATAGCTGATTATGAGTTATGAATTATTATTATTATTATTATTATTATTATTATTATTATTATTATTATTATTATTATTATTATTATTATTATTAGGCTATTATTATTATTATTGGATGGGTGCTAATATTTTGAGGTTCTAGAAAACAACCACAACGAAAGCATCAACAAAAAAATATTTGTGATTTTTAGATGATTCAAGCCATTCAAGTCCTGCGGTTTCATCTGCTGGAATTAGAAAAGGTAAAGATTCATTCTCACGTGGCTCAGTGAAAACAGGTTTTTAATCCAGTATTTCAGTCTCGTGGTGTTCGCTAAATGTGAGCTTGGCCTCGGCAGGTCCATGAGCTCTGTGATAACTTCTGCCACCGCTACATCAGCTGCCTGAAAGGAAAGATGCCCATCGATCTGGTCATAGAGGAGAGAGACGTCTGCAAGTCGGACTTTGACGACCTTTCAGGATCCTCCACTAATCTCGCAGATCATGTGAGTCACGGCGTGGAAACCTTTTTTTTTGGTCGTTATTCAATATATATATATATATACTCTCATTGCTCGTTATTGTTATGATCTCTTTAAATATATATATAGATCATAAAAATGATGAAAAACAGGAAATAAAACAAGCCCGTAACAGGTGCTGTTAAGACAGCCTGTTCTATGGAAAGGCTTGAAAGAAAGGATGATCAGTGCCGGTGCTACGGCTGCAGCTTTGAACAGAAACGTTAGAGCGCAGGGCCTGTGTCAGGCTGTCCTGTGTGCCTCACACAGGACTTCCTATTTTTGTTCATTTACTAAGAAAGTCCAATTTTGAACTAATGTAGAGTTACATACAGCATGAGGATCTTAAAATGATGATGGCTGAAGTTTTGACACAAAAAAATTGGACTGGTAAAGAGTAGAATTAGAATGTAGAATTCCTGGGTTTACTAATGTTCCATTGTGGAGTTCATAGTTGCTGCAGATCAGATAAAAAAATTAATCTGAAATTGATGAATATTTATTTAAATAGATAAATAAAAGTATAATTTTTTCAAATGAGTAATTTCAGTAAATATACAGAAGCTCTCAAGAAATGACACTCATCACAATCAAGGAGGATAATGGTTAAACTGTGGTACAGCATGTCGTCCAACATCAGCTTTAGTGTGTCTTTTCTCTTTGGCTTTACTGGGTACATTTGTGTCAGAATCTCATTCTAATTTAATTAAATCTTATCCTTTTCAAATGTTCAAGAGTTTTGAGGAAAACTGTTAAACAGTGCTCATATTTAAACACTGAGTGAGGGAAGAGACACACTTTCCAGAGTTCTGAATGAGAATCAGTGCAGAGGAGCACTGAAACTGATGTGGAATCTCATTTGTCAGCAGTCTGTATGCTATATGCATTATTTTGTCTATTTAGTTATTGTTTGGTAAATTTGTTCATAAAAGATTTACATTAGGACATCCCGGAAATAGATATTTGATGTCGTGTATGGTTCTGTTGACGCTGCTTCAGTGATGTCAAACCTTCAGCATGAGCAACGACGCTGCTAAACTGAGAGAACATTTAAAGTCGAATGAAATGAAATGAGATGATCTGAATGAAAACAGGAAATTTCTACTCATTCAGTAGTTTGCAGTTTCATGAATGCATGCAGCTGTGTCATCTTAAAACGAATCCCAGTCCAAAAGTTACGTCTCTAAATATATATATTTAATGCAACTGTTTCCAATATTCAAGTGTGAGGAAGCACTTTGATTTTACCAATCCTTCTGAACGATATATGGACCTCAACTCAGTTTTACGTTCCAAGAACCTGAAGGACGTGTTTATTAGCTGCCACTGCACAACTGACAAGTGAATATGGTGTTGTAATATTCCATTACTTATTTAGAGCACGTGCTGGGTTGGAGAAGACAAAGCCTGTGTACTTTTTCACAAGTGCCTCATGTGCTCTGCAGTTGGTCAGTGTATAAATGATGGATGTAGCAGGACAGGACAGTGTGAGACACAGAGAGACTGTACAAGACTGTTTTTTCCTGTGTGAATGAACACAACACTATATACTAGGCTCCGTTCCTGTTACCAGATGTTCTTCATTAGCTTGATGAACATGAAAACACATGTCACCTCTTTTGAGTAGCTGTGTGTACCAAGGAGTTGTAATTATTGCATGGCTGGGTATGAAAAGAGGCTCCAGCATTGAGAGCCTTATTCATACTGTGCCATTGTCCCGGTGCTTCTTCTTGTCATCTGCTGAGCCCTTCATCTGATCACCATTTGCCAAACAGCTGACGCAGAGAGTGAAGAGGGTTTAGGCTAAAGTCTGAGTGGCAGGCCAGTGAGCCCAATAAATGCACGTTTCTCCCCAACTCTGGTCACAGAAACAGTCGGGACACGGCAGGATCCACATGCTGCAGGGTTACTAAACTGTTGCTGTTGTACTTTCTGCTCAAACCTTCCTCATGGACAAACTGGTATTGTCACATTACTTGTGTTTGTGCCTTCGCTTAACTGCATAATGGAACTCATACTGGACTTTACTGGACATTCCTTTTGTCTTTACCCTCGTCTTTCTTCCCTGCTTCATTTCCTTGTACCTGTCCACTACCTCTCAGAACCCAGCGTCCTGGAGAGACATGGATGATTCCCATTCCACTCCCTCTGTGGGTACTCCAGGACCATCCAGTGGGGGACACGTTTCCCAGAGCGGAGACAACACCAGCGAACTTGGTAAGAGCGCCTTCAGGCCTTCATAACAAAGGTTTGACTTTGTTGTGACCTCACCGGGCCCAGCTGATTGGTGATTCTGGGGGAGCATTTCAAGAAAGACAACACTCTTAGTTTATCTAATCACTTTAGCTTAATTGCATTGATTGATAAAACAGATGATTTAAGTTCATGGAAGCCTGCTCTAAGACAGTGCCCAAGCTATAAAACACATACAGCAAATACACATATGTGTATTTACTCCCGGTTTTCTATATAAAAGGATATAACTATTAAGTCATATGGCCACAAGCATCCTCACGCGCTCTGGCTGTGGACCTTTTGGCTACCAGTATTTAGGTATGCAGGCATATCACTTAGCAATTTGTCTTTTTAATGTCCAGTTTAACCAAGAAATCAAAGCCTGACTATTTTTATATCAGCAAAATGATGACTTAATAATTCTTCCCGAATTGATTTTTGTCACAGTAAGTTTTCAAACATTATTCAGACTCATAAATTGTTCCTGTTTAGAATATAACTATTAAGGATTTGTGAGAATGGCAATAATGGTTTTGTTCTGGTTTGGTCTGCTTTCTCTGTTTAACAAACATACACAGAATATATTTTATTCATCCTTTACACTTTCTAAAGCATACATTTTCAAGAAATAATATTGCACATCGATACCTCTGTATTCTAGTAATCTTTTTCTTTAGTTCATTATGAATTGCTCTAGTAAGCACATATGCTGGTTGTCCCCTCACATCAGTTGTAGTTGATAAAGAAAACTGAGTTCACTGCTGTTATTGCCTGCTTCTGTCTCCCCGTGCTTGTGTCCAGCCCCGCTCTATCTTTTGTCACTCTGTGTCCTGCCTGTGGTTTCTGTTTGGAGGCTGTAACAGATTTATGACTTGCTATTTATGACTTTTAAGAGACTTTCTACCTTCTGCTCATCAGGTAGTAGTGAGCAGAGCATCGAAGAGAACAATTGGAAACTTAGATTCGATTATAAGAACATGGGAAAGTGAATAAGAGTCTTACTTCGATTATAAACACAGCAGTTTACAATCTTCACTTCTACATTTCAACTAAAATGCAGTAAGAGAGCAGTTTTGGTAAATCTTAATTGACACTTTAATGATCCAGAAGTTGGGTGCGGAGGTGAGCTGAGGAAGTCCATAGTCTAAATAGCCTTATGAATAGTTTCTTTCCTTTTGGCTGTTGTTTAAACAACAGCAGGGAAAACCCAAGGTCCATGCCCTTTGACCTGGTAGAGAATGGATAGTGGATGGGGGTGCAGAATGCCCCTTCATAGAGATGAAAGGACAGACTGTTTTCTGTATAAGGAAGAAAAGAAAAGATCCTTCTTCTCTAACCTGAAGAGCACACAACCTTAAAGGAACAAAATCATACTAAACTCAGTCAGAGCAGGCGGATGATCTTCACTGAGTTATAATATTGTAGTTATATGGGAATCGGTCCAGTCCAATAAAGAATGATTAATGTTGTGAGTATTTGGTATTTGGCAACACAAACCTTGCTTCTATTTTCTCACTGTAGAACTTAGTGTTGTGTATATTTTTAATCCCCCAGTTTCTGTCTTTGCCTATATCGCCTCCAAAACTCCTCATTATTAACATTTTCTTTGCAGTAGTTTTACATTTGAAACAAACAAGGGTGTGGTTTGTAATATACATCGAACATTAGTGGTTCTGTTTTCTTTTCTCGAGTCGGTGATCCTAACCAAATCACCAGACGCACTATTTAAGCTCGGTAGCAGCACTTGGCATCAGTGCAGAAGTTGTAGCTGTAGCAGAGGGGAAAAGGAGAGTGTGAATGAATGGATCAATATTTCTTAGCATTCAACCAAGATCACAGGTATTCCACATGCTTCATTAAGGGCTTTGAAGCAAAGTAAACATACAGTAAAGTCTGGAAAGGAGCAACTGGGGAAATATCAGCACCACTTAATCTTATTTATTCATTATTTATTATTCAACAGTTTCTGAATGTTGTTAGACAGCAAATTTCATATTATGTCATCATAAGCTTGTTCTGTACGGGAGTTTTTAACGATGGCTTTGCTGACGTTTTTGTCCAAGATGTCCATCAATCAGTCTCCGCTGTTCATTATTGATTATTGGTTCATATATACATCAGTATATAAATCAGTCACAGTTTGACTACAGAAGAAATGAGATCAAACATAATTTCAACAACAGTGACATTTGTTCAGAAGCACACGTGGTGAAAGAGACTCTACAAACTGGCAGAATTATTTAAAAACATTCCTAACAGGAAGTGATTATGGTATCGTCATCATTAGCCAAGCTTCTGTGGTCTGATGAAACCCACAGAAAAAAGAAATCCACTGTGACTGGGGAATACTGAAGTGGTTTGGTGGTACTGGTAGCCTCGTACATAACTGCCTGCTCCTCTGTAACCTCCCACTCTGTGGTCATTGCCTTGTAAGCTGTGTGATATGCAGAGAAGGCTGTGTTTGATAGCTCAACCGCTTGGGTTGACCACAGCTAAAAGGACCGTGCTCTCCCAGGAGTGTGGAGGGGGAGAAGGTGTCCATTCAAATAAAACAAAAGGCAGTGGGAGAAGCTAGAAAATCTCCTCACTCTTGCTGAGAAGTGGAATGTGAGGGACAGGATGTGTTGTACTTTTTGAGGTGCTGATATGTTAGTGACACCTCCCTTCAGCATCTATCTTACAAGTTATTTATTTTAAAAAAGATCACATTTTTGTATTTTATTGCCTGTAAGTGTGCATGTTTTACTTCAGTTTGCACAGACTGCTTACAAAAATGTTATTCAAAATTTTTGTTGTAATTAGCTTGAGGTCACACGTGAAATTATGCTCTAACTGGTCAGGAGCCACGTGTTCACACAGATACAAACAGTGTGCACATTTGTTAACAACGGATTTTGAGCCTATAATAAAGTGTATGTCTGTCACTGGATTTTGCAGTTTGAAGTTTTCAATGCTGTGGAGAAGCCATTTTTATTTTTGCTAACCTGTTTAGGTAAAACAGCGGATGATGAGAGCATAATTTATAGTTATACTATAGTTACTGCAAGCACACACATCCTCTGTAAATCCTGCTTATCTTAAATTGTCTCTGTACCTCAATCATAGGTGAAAAACATGATTTTTCACCTATGATATCATCAATCACTCAAAAAGTGGATTCATATATATATATATATATATGCCGTCAAACAGATGCTCCTCCGTATCAGAGTTTCTAACTGTCATGTGTTCACTTTCTGTGTTGGAAGTCTTCCCGGCTGCTCCATTCTATGCTCTGTCTCATGTGTAATAATGGGAGGAGTCTTGGGGTGTCAGTGATGATGAATCAGGGCCCTGCTGAGCTCATTAGGTAGCCCACGCTGGCTTTGCATCAGTGATGCTGCTGGGGGGGTGCGACAATCAGTTCTGCTAGCTGCTTCTCACTTACCAACATGTCCAGTGGGGAGATTAATATAAAACAATTTAAATATCTAGATGTTATTTTTGGGTTTGTTTTTTTTCTAAAAACATTTCACTGCTTTTTAAAAATGATTATTTTCCTTTAAACATATAATAAATATCACATTTACTGTGGGTCACGCCATTTACGTACCAGACCAGATGAGCAGCCAAAGGGCTGTCTGACTGTTTGGTTTTCAGAGCGGTCAGTAGAACCAGATCTATCTATCGAGTAAGCTGAGGAGGTATAAAAAAAAAAAAAGGAAGACTTGTGTTGATATCTCAGGATGCTATTTTTTGTGTGTGTTTTTCTTCACCCCGGGGCAATACTCCAGTCATCCCTGCGGTATCTTCCCCCCTCCTTGTACCCCCTCGTGTGTCACGCGTGCAGACACTGGAAGGCAGACTTAACTAGGGAGGGGGAGTAGAGATGAAAAAGGGTGGGAGCAGAGGGGCATGGGAGACTTGCACGGGCATATGACTTTGAGACTGCACTGTCACACACTGGTTAGATTGGCTGAGTTGCCGGAGAACAGTCAGAAGCGATTAGTGTAGCAGAGGATATGCCCTGCGGCTTTTCCCTCTCTGGAGCAGAAGAAAGGAGAGGAGAGGAGCAGTGATGAGGATGAGGGGTGGAGAGGGAACAGTGTGCCTCCCTTTGATACAATTAAGCTGAGCAAGACCTTTTCTCTCTGTCTTTCTTACACAGCTATCATTTTAGTGGAGATTTGAATATTCTTTGGGTTCAGTTTCTCTGGCCGCTATATGTCAGTGTCGGTGCGTATGTAGTTAATTAGAATGATTAGGTCAGTCTGAATCGAATGTGCTCGTGTTACATTTTTTCCTAAAGAGTTGAAGTAAGAATACAATTTTATGCTGGTTAATTATCATCATGTTGAAGTTAGCAGTGACAGCAGCTGGACAAACAAACAGGAAGACAGCAGCAGGGGACGGAAGCAACAGGAACGCTATCCTGTCTCTGACTTACAGCTGGTGGACACCATCCGTAAAACTCCCACAGCCCCTGGAGCCTGACCCTGGAACAGGGCTTTTTAGTGTCAATATTCATTAGCTGAAATATTTATGCATGAATATGGCTCATATAGGCACATTTGATTGATGCATCTCTAAAAACAAAAAGACATACTAGGGCATTTCTTAAGAAAAGTAGGGTTCCTGTCTCGCCTCAGGGGAGGAGTCTCTCAGATGCATTATTCACATACCCTCCAGGCAGGCTTTCAAGGCTTCTCTGCCCCGAGGGCAAGAAAAATAACCACCACTGTTAAAAGTAAATCATCTCGCATGATGCACAATTAATGTCAGAGAAGGAGAGAGACCAGAGTGCCCCTTGTGTTGCAAGTTGGAGTGAGTTAGCTTGTGGGAGCGGAAATCTCAGCTTAAAGGAAGCCTCCTGCTTTGACCCGCGCCAGCTTCCTGCTGAAATCAAACAGAGATGCTGCTAATAGCAGGATCCAGAGCAGGAATGATGCTGTGATGCAGACAGCCTGACACTTGTATTGTTGATGAAGGAAGGGGGAGGGGGAGTGTGTGTGTTGGATGGTCATACTGAACTGCAAGGTGAAGGATTCACGCTCTAACAACCCATCCACCCACACCCCCTCGTTCTGCCTTAGTCGCCCATACGGACACATCGCTGTGACTTTAAACACACTGGGTTCATACTTCATTTACAAGCTTGGCTTTCTGTTTTTGTTTGTCCCCACTTTTACTTCAGTCCTGCTTCAAACAGAGGTCACATACACATACGAGTACATAGAACACAGTCTGACTGCATTTTGAACATTCATTATCTCATGTCAGCCGCACAGCTCCTGCAGTCATTACCTCATGTCAAAGCCGTGGCTCACATTGAATTAATAACTCTTGGTTTTACTGAGCTCCTATGCTACAAACTCCTCTTCATTATCCAGTGGCCGGGAAGTAAAGCAGAGGTGAGACAAAGAAATTTGTACTGCCGTGCCATAAAGGAGAACGTGGCTCTATAGAGAGATCGGGCCACATTAAAGCTTCCTGATAATATGACTCCTTTTGTTTCTGATTGCAGGTGACGGCCTTGACAACAGCTTGGCATCACCAGGCACGGGAGATGAGGATGACCAAGACAAGAAGAGACAGAAGAAACGAGGCATCTTCCCCAAAGTGGCGACAAACATAATGAGAGCGTGGCTATTCCAGCACCTTACAGTAAGCGAACAGAGCCTCATTCAGACAAGCCACATCTAGCTGTGGCTTTTTATACAACTGCAACATTTTCTCCTCTTTGTAATAGAAACCCTACAATGTCCAGCTAAGGCCGCGCCATCAGGCAAAAGTTGTTTGAAATGAGTCCTCACTGTTTTTCTGTGTTTTCCGAATGCATCTTGAAACCATGTTCGTCTTTGTTCCATTGCAAGAGAACGGAGCAAAGAGGAACTTGTGACTAAAGGTCCCTTTTTTGAAATAGCAGTCCAGGCATTTTCTTCAGAAATCAACATCAGAAGCCTTTCATTCAAAAGAAGCTCATCTCTGTAAAGATGTTGAGCACATCCAACAAGGACAGCATCACGTTTTATCCAATGATCACAGCCTCCTCACCTTTTCTACCTCTTATACTCTTAGATGTGCTGTAACCCCTCACTTGTTTAGTTTGTAAAAGGCCCACACAGGTCCTGGACTTGGAGTAATCCCTTCCTTTCCAAAGCCCACCTTTAGATTCTGTAGATAAAGACAAGGATAGTTGAATTATCCCCTCTGTGTTCCCATCTCCTTTCAGGCCTAATTTGTTAAGCACAAGTATTTGCCATGGCAGGATGTGTCTATGAAAAGTGTGCAAGGGGACTTTGGCCCCTCAAAGGCCTTTTGCAACACCCAAGCGCTCAAGCATTCATCACTTGTTGAGGGTGTGAAAGGAGCGGGATTATGTTTTGTCAGACATTACAGTGTGAGGCCTGTGGTTAGATGTCTGTGGGGGCAGTGGGGATGTTTCTATCCATCAGTAGCTGTCCCCTCCTGCTTTTGTTATCTCTTCTTAAAGCTCTTAAAGGTTTTGCGAGAGTGCTGTATAAAAAGCAGCAGTGCAAGGATTTAATTCAGTAGATTATCCGTTACCTGCTTATTAGCAGAACGATATCTATTGGTTTCCATGCAAACCTTTATCTCTCTACATTCAAAGATTGGTGTCAGAGTTTGTAGAGCAAACTTTCATAAGTGTTCATAAGTGTCAGCTGAAAAGATGTTCTCTCACCTTGAATTTAAGCACTTGTTTGCATGTAACACCCATGAATGGGGTTACATGGAGGTAGAGCAGGAAGGTTGGTGGTTCAATCCTCCCCAAATATCCTTGGGGAGGTTTCTAACCCCAAGTTGCTCCATCGGAGTGTAAATGTGTGAATGGCTTTGAGTACTGAGTAGAAAGGTGCTGTATAAAAAACATTCTGTTTGCTGTTTACTAATCATTTACAGCATCTTTCTTGGAGTGAATTTCAAACACGAAAAAGTCATTCTCAGTGTGGCCATTTGTACTGGAAAAAGCTGAGAAAATGAGTTAAGTTATCTAACATTGAATCCAAAACAACATTATCTAAAGTACATTATGTTACTTCTTTCAGAGTATTTTAAATGCTACTCTTCTGCCAGCTGAGAGCTAGGAGGGGGCAAAAAGCATCCTCAGTACATAGACTGTGTGTGTTTTATTACAAGTGTGTGACTATCCACCATCACACACTTGATTTCACAAAGCTAACTGTGCATTTTCCCCTCTGGTTATTTAAATTGGTGTCTCTTCTTTCCTCTCTGTGCATCTCTCGTGATATTTGGAGGCCTACTGTACAAATGCTTGCGTGTGTGTATTTGTAATATATATGGTTGTGTTTAAGCTTGTAAGTATATGAGTGTGTCTTTGTGGACGTCTGAATGTAAATGTAATAATATACAGTGCTGTGAAAAAGTGTTTGCCCCCTTCCTGATTTCCTGTTAATATTTTGTGTATGTTTGTGTTTGATGACCTAAAATATTTAAGTGTGACAAACATACAAAAAAAAAAAAAAAGGAAACCAGTATGTGTGTGTGCTTGCACTGACTTTCCCTGAAAAGTAGTTTAAAGCTCATCCTTCAACGATGACTGCGGGAGATGGCCTGACAACAGCAGAATGGAGACTGGCCCACGACCCTGCTTTGAGTAGACAGGTCACCTCTGTCTGCCATCTGCCACCCTTCTCCCAGAGTCTCACACACACTCAAACACAGAGTTTGCAAAGGGACTGGGGCCAGAGGAAAAGAGGTTGAATCAAGACAGGGAGGGTTGGGGAGTGGCCTGGCCTTACTGGGTCCCAAATAAAAGCTACCATTGTATACCATCCAATAATTTTATATACCACCCGGTTAATGCTAAATGCTGTGGCACAAAGCCACATGCTTTAGTGTAAAATGTTTGGGAGCCAAAACAGGACCAGGTTGTGTGTTTGCAGAGTTAATTTGTGCATCACTTATCTATTAGTCTATCTTCCTTTTTGCTAATAGCACCCATACCCATCAGAGGAACAGAAAAAGCAGCTAGCACAGGACACAGGTCTCACCATTCTTCAAGTGAACAACTGGTAAGTTGGTGTAAAACCAGATAAGTAAGCATCTTCATATGTTCAACATTTTTGCTTTGTGCAGTGCAGAATATACATAAAACCTGACTTTTGCTGCTGAAAATGCCCAAATTACCTATATTTAACACATAAGTAATGCTTATGAGTTAAATACAGGTAATTTTAATACTTATAATAAGTATTATCATTACTGAATGAACAGGTGACACAGGGTGGTGCAGTGGTTAGCGCTGTCATGTCACAGCTACAGGTCTGAACCCAAATCAATACATGTGTAGTTTGTGTTACTTTCTCAAAGTGACCCAAATTATTTTAATAAGGAAAAAACAGGCTTTTGGTCAGGTCCCTGGAGACGCACGGAAAGGTTCCAAATTACAGTGAAAGTGTTCATAAATACTGACTTTAGGTGACAAAACACTTCGTCTTCTTCATTTTTGATAATTACAAGAGGGATGGCATTTTAGAGGATGTGTTTTTAGAGAGAATGCACTTAATTTCTGTGCAAAGTTATCAGAAATCTCTGTGTACTAACACCACTGGGAAAGAAACTAACTGTAATTTATTTTCTAAAAAAAAGTCGAAAAAAGTATTCTTTCACGTCAGGGTTTTTTTTTCTTTTTTTGGATCATGTATCTGTTCTCAAGGGTCAAGAATATTGAACTTAATAAAAAATATTTAAGCATTTTCATTGTTACTGATCTTTGTTTTCCAGGTTTATCAATGCAAGGAGGAGAATAGTCCAGCCTATGATTGACCAGTCGAACAGAGCAGGTTCAGTGTTCACTATACTGCTAATAGTTCCTTTCCTTCAGTATGAATTGGGGTCGAAATTTAACCTCAAGTTAACCAATAGTCTTATTTCTCATCTTCTCTCACAGTAAGTCAGGGTACAGCTTACAGTCCAGATGGCCAGCCAATGGGAGGCTTTGTTCTTGATGGGCAGCAGCACATGAATCTTCGACCTGGTGGTGAGTAATCGCTCAAACATTTATTTAAAAAAAATAATCATGACGGACAAAATCAGTGTAACAGGTTTCATCTTGTCCTCGTGAGTTTCTATGGTCTAGTAAAGTAAACCTTGTTATTTGTCCTTATCTTAATGAAAATGAGGGCATGGTTAAATGCAGCCCCAGTGGACAGAAAATAAGAGTATGTGGGTCAGGCCAGTGCATAGGTCAAGAAAGTCCATCTGCATGCGTATAAGTGTATCACTATGAAGTGAAAATGTAAAAATACAATTTCTATTTTAAAAAAACAAAACAAAAAAACCCCCCGACGTTTGCATCAGCTTTTTAAAACCCCGTAAACGGGGGAACAAATTAAGGTTGTACCGCTGTTCAAGTTCCTCGTGTGAGAGACATATAAGTAATACTGAACATAATACAAAAAGAAGGACAGGATAAAGATATAAAGTGACACAAAGCAGGTTTTATATGTTAGGAAGTGGCAACAACCATAGAGGAACATGTCTATATTATCTATGTCTATAGTCTTCATTGAAAATGCAAAAAAGAACCAAAAGTCAAAGAAGTGGCATATATAATAAATCGTTAGCTTCATAGCATAATTGCCTAAGTCATTGACTTAGTCAAATGACTTAGGCAATTATGCTATGAAGCTAACGAAATGCAACATTTGATTCAGAGCACATCACTTTATGAGTGAAACCTATCATTAAACAAGTAAATATAAAAGTAGTTATGTTGTGTATTTTTACTCAAGAAAGGTTGATGCTGAACTTAAAAGTCCTTTATGAATATTTTGAAAAATTCAATTGGTTTCTGTGATACTGTGCAGGACTGTTCTGTCTTGTGTTGGTGGTTCTTAACAGTGTATTTACTTTACTTGCAGGGCCGATGGGTAGCATGGGTATGAATATGGGGATGGATGGGCAGTGGCACTACATGTAAATTCACTCCACTGAGGCAAGCCTGAACAACAGGGTGAAGTAAGAAGTAAAGTTTTTGTCACTTTTCATTTTGTTTCATCCCAGAAAAGCAATTTTGAACTCTTGAACTCACTTCTCCTTATCTCTTATTACTTGGTCTTCCACTCTGCTCTTTCAGTTTGTTTACAGTCTAACATAGACACAGCAAGGTCTTTTAATTGTCATGGTAATGCCAGCGTTAGGTATCTCAGCACAAACTTGTGGAATTAGAGATTTTCAGTTATTCTTTTACAAATAGATATGAAACTGAAATAAGAAAGAATGTCAGTATCTTCTTAATGGTTTCACAAATGACATCTTTTTGGCTCAAGTTCATGCATTGCACAAGGCTTTAGGATTGGTGCCTTGTCAGACTCCTTTCTTCTTTTTTTTAAAACAATTATTTACATATAAACTATATTATTTTTGTAGATGATTATTTCAGTCAGTTCAGATTTTAAACATCCGTGGGGTCAGTCAGACCATCTTTCAGAATAAAAAGCTTTTTTTTCTCTCAGTAAACATCAGTAAACAAGTCATTGTGGGGGAAACAGATTCACACTCCATTTTAAATCTAACTTCAACCACTTTCTCTCTCCTTCTCCACCCCCAACCCGCCAGTTTTGTCCTCATTCTCTTCTCCCGCTGCAATTTGATTAAGAATCGGGTAATGCTCCCCCCTCTGTCTCCCCTTCCACCCTCTATCAGCTTCTCACCTCTGCTGACAGTTCTCAAATCAAGACATATCGCCTGCCGGAGGCACCAACCACAGAGAATTTTATTTAACACCCACTCTCCTCTGCTCAATGAGCCATGCTGTAATGACACTTACCTTGATTAATAGAGCTTTTTATATGTAAATAGGAGCTGCATTTGCTCATTTTTTTTAGCAGGGTGATTTTTTTTTTGCCAGTGCAGCCCTCTCTTCCCTGTCTAATAATTCCAGGGCTCTGTTAATGAAGTTCACAAGGCTTATTTTAAAACATACATCTACATAGAAACATTGAGCGCTCTGAATCAGTGCTATCTGTATATTTTTGTAAGGTATTTAATGTAACTATTTCTCTGTGAATGATCACTGACTGTCTAGTTTCTCCTGATCTCTGGTGAGTGCATATGCTGATAGTGGCAATAAATCTCTTCCAGACTGCATCAAGAAAGAGAGCTATGTTTGGAGTAATATGAGGGTTTTTCCACGCACAATAAAGCCTGAACCATAACATTTAGCCATTACAGAACAGATGACTGAATCTACACAATTTTATACTCCTCTGTTGTGCACTCTTTTTTGATTGGTCCACCATATGCTATGTTATGTACTGCACATGTCAGTTTTAAACTAATAGCAATTTTTGTTGGATTAAAACAGAAACACTCTTTGAGGTAATGTTTGAATTTACAGAATCAGTTTAGTTTAAAGCTACTCAGGCAATAGTTTAGTCAGTTAGATGTATTGTGTCACAGCAGACAAAATATTAAAACCCAAAACAAAATAGCTTCAGTTCATTAAAATATTGCAATGCAAAAATGAAAAAATAAGCGACTAATTTTAGTAGAAAAAAAAAATCAATTCAGTTTATGTATATAGCACAAATCACGTTGTGCTATAAGGACCTTGAGGCAACAAAGTGAAATAATGCAAGAGTCCAATCAGCTAAATAATTATAATACAAAATATAATCAAAAATAAACACAAGTATTGTGGTAGGCTTAAATGGAATAGACTCCAACCGTACCAACAAACACGCACACACACATTCTGATGACTGTATCAGGTATAACTTCAGTATCTTGCTAAATGACACTTTGACATGTGGATTGCTGTTCCACATGTTCCCCTCAACCTCCTGAGCCACAACTGTCCATTTAATCACAAACTTCATCATAGCCACCAGGGGAATCCAAGCAGTGCATATATTCAGATTGAATTCAAAATGATTTCAAACGACAAAAACAAAATAGAGTTCCTTCAGAAATATGGATTCATTCTCACAGCTAGCAGTTCATCAGTGTTACATGAAACATATTAGTCCGCTCTAATGTGTGACATTTCCCTGCACATTTACTCTTTAGTACGAAAGAGGATTAGGGCCACTGGAAAAAAAAAAGTGGGCACGTCTTTTTTTCTTTCTTCTTCTTTTCCAGAATTCTAAGAAAAAAGTCAGAATCTGACTTTTTTCTTAGAATCCTGACTTTTTTCTCAGATATCTGATTTTTTCATCAGAATTCTGAGATTAAAGTCAGAATTCTGACTTTTTTCTCAGAACTCTGGAAAAGAAGAAAAAAAAGACATGCCCACTTTTTTTCAGTGGCCCTAATCCTGTTTCGTACCTTAGATTATCATCTTGTCTGAGAGAAAAATACCGAAGACAGGTGGGTGTTCTTTCTCACAGTATTTCCTCTGGGTGTTATATAGTTCATATTTTGTCTCATACATCTGTGAAACAGAATTTGATTTCTTCCTGATTTCTAATTTGTTTGCATAGTTGCCGCACCTGAATGTTTCAGATCATTGTTCTGTTGCATAACCCAAGTGTGCTTGAGCTTTAGGGCACAAACTGATCTTTGATGAATTCTGCTCTCTACCAGAAAATCATTGGCCAAGTCATCCAAATCCTGAAGCAGCAAAGTAATCCCAGACCATTACACTACCACATTTGACTGTTGCTATGATTTTTTTTATGAGAGGTGTATGCTAGTTTTATGTCAGATGTAATTGGATGCAAATCTTCCAAAAAGTTCTCAATGTGAAAATGTGAGACAAGCCTTTGTGTTCTGTTTGGTCAACAGTGGTTTTTACCTTGGAACTCGCAACAGATGCCATTTTAGCCCAGTCACTTTCTTATTGTTTAATCATGAAAAGTGGGACCTGCAGGTCTTTGGATGTTGTTATAGGTGCTTTTGTGAGTTCTTGGAGACTTGTCAGTCTGTCTTGGAGTAATTTTGATAAGCCGACCACCCCTGAAAGGTCCACCACTGTTCCAAGATTTTCTATTTATGGATAATAGCTCTCACCATGGTTTGCTAGAATCCCAGAGCTGTAGAAATTATTTTGTAACACTTTTTAGACTGATAGATGTCGGTGATTTTGTGTGTCATCAGTTTCTTTAGATCATAAAAGATTTTTGAGATCTTTTATCCTGCTTCACTTTGTCAGACAGGTTCTATTTAAATGATTTATTGATCCAACGGGTCTGTCAGTACTCAACCCTGGTGCAGCTAGTGAAACTTGAGCTTTCCAGAAATTGCTGGTTAATCTTTGTGACAAGGGGGTTTTAATTGTTTTTTCCCCTTAATAAATGAAATAATTCTTTTAAACTGTATTTTGCATTTACTTAAGTATCTATCTGTAACATTAAAATTTGTTTGATGATCTGAAACATGTATGACAAATATGCAAAACAACAACATTTTTTTCACATTACTTTATTTTATGAATTCACTCCTCTAGCTGACAAAGCCCATCCTCAGTAGCTCCTTGAGGATTGAAGGCCTTACTTCAATCTTACTAAAAAGCAAAATCCTAAAACAAAACACAAGTAGACTTGTAAAACCTGACTTGGAAAAGAAAAGTAGCTGCTATCCCTCAGGACAATTGAGAGCAAGATAAACTAACTTTGTCAGGTCATTAAGTGTTGTGGAAATGGAAACTGCTGTGTTACAAAACATAAAAGAAAAAAGACCTGCACTGCCTTTGCCACTAAACCCTTCGACCGCACAGAGGCTGTAAATGACTTTCATAATAAAAGCTGAAAAGCATCAGTAGCAGTTTTTTTTTCTGGCACTTGTAAAATATGACAGTTTCTTTGATATATATTATTCACTATCGTGTGGCTATCTCACTACTACTATTGTGACTACTACTGTGTGAACAGGATGCCTATGAGTGGTTTGGCCTTTCAAAATAAAATTCTCTTGAATGCTAAAAGACAGGACAGAACAAAAGCCACGCTGTGGAAGAGAGCCAGAAATAAGTAATGATTCAAGACAGAGAGGTGTATAAACACATACTGAGAAAGGTGACTGAAGAAGAAATACTCAATTCATCATGGAAATCCACCTGCAGCCTACACCTATTGGAGAAAAATGATCTGAATTTCCGGAGCAGGACCACACCTCCAAACACGGCCCTTCCAGTTCTTATATTATATATGACCCCCAAGTTCTACAAGCTGTTTGTTCCCGTTTTCGTGAGAACACATTTCGTTCTTGCTCTTTCGAGAAGATCTTTAATACAACTTATCTCACAAGAGTAACGTAATTTTACTCACCCTTCCATTTGCTTACAATCGCCCTCTTGTCCGTCACCACATCAGATGAAGAACTACACAGCTCTGCTTCATCGATTTCCCTCCAGGCAATCCAAGAAACCCAAACACTCTGAACGTCAACGCGGTGCTTCAGAGTAACCGAACGCCGCTGACACCTGCCGTCCCAGGAAACTTTCTAGCAGTTTTCTTGCCAGCCAACAAACATTGATCCATCCAGTCATTTTCTCTCCGCTAGATCCAGTTATGAAGTAACTCCGGCTGCTCGCCACCTCTGTGAAATTCAGCAAAGTCACCCACCAGCAAGTGTTGAGTTAACCCTTCCAAAACTGCTTACTGTCACCTTCGTTTCAGAAATTGGCACAGTAGTTATCGCTGCCTTATCCAAAGTAAATTAACCAACCAGGCATCCCCTTTCCATCTTCTACTCCAAGACAAGCTCACGAGCCGTCAAGCCATTACCACAAGTCTCAAAATCCCGGCATGTGTCACTGTCAGAGCTTCTGTAGAGTCTAGCTACCCGATCGAGAGTTCCCCTCATTCATCTATCAAGGTCTTTCATTGTCTGAAATTTTCTTTGATCTCCTCTCCCACCATTTCTTCCCGATTTTTCTGAGCCCATCCGCTCCACTCTATGGAATCCTCGACAACCTTATTGAGGCCACGGGCTGCTTATCTGCGCTATGCCTACCAGTGATGTTACTGCAGAGGTCTTTGGCCTTCATACCGCACAGTATGAATAGTTATTATTACTGTTATTAGTAATTATTATCACAGTTGTTACTGCTTCTCATGCGAGATGCCTTCATTGGGGATCTGCCAGGCCCAGGAGCCACCACCAGTCCCCTCCGAGGCCTTCCCCAAACGGCAGCTCAATTCATGTTTAAGCCATTCACCTTTATCTACTAAAAAAAATGCTGTCAAAAATGAGGATGTGGGCCTAGCAGGGAATTGTAGCATAACTAAGGGAGGATTCAGGGTCACCTGATCCAGCCCTAATTATATTTTTTAGCAAAAAGGAGTGTTTTAAGCCTAATCTTAAAAGTTGTGGTATCTGTGTCACATCTGCTGAGGTCTACGCAAACAAACTAAAGTGAGGGAAGAATGAGATAGAACTAACAAAACCTAAACTGGGAGAAGCTAAACACAAAAGCACGAGATGCATAGAAAAACAATACAAGAACCTGAAAAATGAAACCTGGGTCTTGGGGAAACATGAGGGAAGACAAGCAGATGGACCAACAACAGACAGAGGAGAACAGAGGACTAAATACACACTGATAATGAGGGGATGGGAAACAGGAGGGAAACACAGCTGTGGCTTATCAGAAGCAATGGGACAGGGAGGAAGCAAAACTGAACACACTAAACACAAGACGAGGGACTATCATAATAAAACAGGAAACATGCTGAGACACAGACGCGACACTGGAACTGGGGAACAGAACATAATTAACTTGACATGATACATGGACCACAGAGGAGTAGTGAAACCTAAGAAGTAGAAACCACAAAATATAAAAAGAGAATAACTAAAGAAGAAAGAAATACAAATTACTAAACCATGAAAAACACAAAATCGAAGAATATTCAAAAACCAGAATCCAAACCGGAAGCTGGTTCCATAGAAGAGGGGCCTGAAAACTGAAGGCTCTGCCTCCCATTCTACTTTTAAATACTCTAGGAACCACAAATAAGCCTGCAGTCTGAGTGCTCTAATTGGGTGATATGGTACAGCAACGTCAATAGAATAAGATGAGCCCTGATCTTTTAAGACGTTGTATGTGAGGAGCAGGATTTTAATGCAATTCTGGGAGCCAATGAAGGGAAGCCAATACTGGAGAAATCTGCTCTCTCTTTCTAGTCCCTGTCAGGACTCTTGCTGCAGTATTTTGGATTAACTGAAGGCTTTCAGTGAGTTTTTAGGACTTCCTGACAATAATGAATTACAGTAGTCCAGCCTAGAAGTACTAAATGCATCAACTAGTTTTTCAGCGTCACTCTGAGACAGGATATTTCTAATTTCTAATTGGTACTGAAAGTAACCGTACATACCGTTACATCTGTGAGATGATTATGAGTAACTTTTCCTCTAATGGTTAAAATCTGCTGTGATGAAGCCCACTTGCCAATGCTGTGTAGTCTATCATTGTAAATGTAAATGTTATTAGGATATGATCAGATAAGAGACAGTTTCTATGGCATGTCTTAGAGCAAGATCTACATTAAAGTGTTTTTTCAGAGACAGGACATGTTGTGGGTCAGTGGGTCAGAGCAGCTGTGGACTCATCTCCTTTCTTTGTGTCCAGGCCTTCATGGTTGGCTCAGGGATCTCCTTCTGGCTGCACAGATCTGTTGACAAGTCACACTTCTGACCGTACATCTACCTGACAGTACCACTCCCACATCCTGCGTGCGCCTGTGGAGGATCACCACGGAAACGTGTCATCAACTCAGCCCACAGATTTTTGATGTGAGCTGAGGAGCTTTGCGTCTGCACAGGAAATTAGAAGAGCAATGACTATAGAGAGGAAGAACCAAACATATCCTCTGTTTCATTTTAAATTATTTATTTATTTTTCTACAAAGACAGACTTCTTTGTTTTTCCTGTCCACCCTCCCCAACACACACACCCCTACCTTTTGACCACCTCTTAAAAAAAACTGTACAACGAAAACCACACACACACACACACACACACACACACACACACACACACACACACCTTGATGAGAAAAAACCCATATGTTTCTAAAACGATGGGAACTCGATTGTGCTGTAGAGATTTGTGCTCTTTGTTTGGCTCTTTCAGTCCATATTCGTGCTTGTGATCTGTTAGACGTTAGACTGCAGCTCTTCTCACGGACACGTTTTGTAGCCAAGCTCAAAGCAAGATTTTGTAAGAAAACTCTGTGATTGTTTGTTTCTGCATTTCTTTCTTCTGTTTGACATCTCACAGTTTTTAGACTCCTGGATGGAAGGATCTGGATGAGGGAATATGAGATGATGGTTGTGAGTTGAATTCCTGACAATGTTTAAAATCATTTTGTAGCACCAAATCATGGACAACAAATCTGCACTAAAAGTAAATAAAGACTTTACGGAGGAAAGCAAAAACGAGCACGGAGCAGAGCTTTGTGTTTTACTTGAACAGCGGGCCTAAGGAGAAAGCAGCTGAGGCCGCAGCAGCGGTTCGTGGAGCAGGTCACGTATCTGTGGTTCGATACGAGACGAAATTGCAGTTGTCTCGTATTATTCGATTGATGGCGGCAGAGATGATGGATGGGCGATTTCAAGAAAATCTGAAACAAGGCGGAAGCTCCAGCTTTCACTCCAATATGACTACCGTGGCTGCTGCTCTGGGTGTATGTGTGTGTGTGATAACACTAATTATTAACAGGACAACATCATTAAATTAAGCACATATGGAATAATAAATAAATACATTAATGCAGCGAACAGCTCGTTTATCACTGTCAGCCTGCACCGATTATCTGCGCTTTGTACTGAAGAGCAGCAAACTCTTAATACATGTTTAATAAATGCTAAAAAAAAAAAAATCGATCCATTATTATTATTATTATTATTATTATTATTATTATTATTATTATTATTATTATTAGCTATCTGTTGTTGTAGCACTAGTAAAATACCTACGGCCAATTTCAATTTAAAATACCCTCATACATGTGTTTAAACCGTGGGAGGGAGAGCCCGGAGAGACCCACGCAAAACGGGGACAACAAACCCCACACAGAAAGGCTGCAGACTGGATTCAAACCCAGGACCTTCTTGTCGTGATGCGACTATGCTAACCACCAAATAAAGAAGGAAACACATCGTCTTTTAACTGTGGCTTTAATCATCAGTAAATCAGTAATAACAGAGTTACACGTGAAGTGCCAGGCCTCTGTTTCGATCTGTTCACATTTATATACAGAACACCTAAGCAAGAAAATGGAAAAGAAAAAAGTGGTTTATATTTAGTATTTACTGTTGTTTAACAATTAACACGTATCGCTTATTTCATCATCTTATTGTATTCCACGGTCTATTTTCCGTGTGTGTTCAGTTAATATTTTAATACTACCAGAAACGAAAGGTGCAAAACTGCATTTAAAGGCCTCACAGTGACAAATTGTAGCCAACTACAGTGAAAGAAAAAAAGTTTAAAGAATGTCGCAGGAAGCGATTTTGTGCGTGTTCTTTTCTAGGCCGAGGAGCTCCGCTGTAACGGGCCTAATTCGTGCATCTCCTATGCTGAACATTAATGCGTTTTGAAGGCTGTCGGAAACGAAGGCAAATCTATTTGAAATATGGGTCAGAGCTCGAGCAGAAAGCTGTATCACATGATGCACGAGCTTTGCTTTTTCCTCATAAAAGCAAAGCGCCGAAGCCGTCGAAGAACAAACCTTTAATATTATAGGTTGAAATAACGGCAAACCTACGGAACTCGCAGTGGCTATGAGTTAGATAAAATGCTTACCGTGCATATAGTGAAGCACTATATAAATGTGGCTTTTAAGTGCTTTGAGCCTAATTATGTTTTCATTTCTATAAGATAGCTAATAAATTCAATAGCCCCAAATTAGAAGAACCGCTGTCAGGGCGAAACAAAACAATGAAAAAAATGTCTTTGTATTTTTCTTACTCAGTTGAGGCAACAGTAACAAGAGTCTTTATTTTATTTTTTATTTAAACAACCCTACAATTTTAAAATAGAGGCCTCAACTAAATTGTTGAAATTCTGTTAGTGCTAAAACTCCGAATACATAACCAGATAAGAGAAAATCAAATAAAATTCTTGGACTCTCTTAAAACTTCCCAGCAAAAGCTGTAATCCTTGCTCAAGAGAACCACCTGAAACATTAAGTGTTGGGGCTTTAGAATCCTTATATTTGTGGGAGGTATTTCTCAAAACACTGTTGGTGTACATTCAAGTCAAGAAACATATTGTATTTCTGGGATTTACACCTTTACAAACAATTGTGACATAATTAGCACCATTCCAGTTTGTCACATCGACATGGCAAATGTCTGCACTTGTGCTAACACACATTTGATAGTGGTTGTGAGGGTCTGGCGATGTATCAATGTGTCTAGAGGAGGATGATGGTTGGTCAGTTCTAGATGCTGTCATGTTGATTTGCTTCAAATTGTGGTTGACTGCAATCAAATCCTTTTAAGAGATATTGGTTTCTTGCTCAATAGGTCATAATCTCCCTTACAGACAACTTAGCTGTATTTGGTGCATAGGTCAAAGATGTATCCAAACATTGATAAGTGGAAGGATGGACATATATATCTTGACCATGCTGGTATCTTGTACATGTGTACTAGCATGTCAGAAAGATCAGTACCTGCTATATGTCGACTTTAGGCACAAATCAGCCATCAGCAGTGTATGGATATCTTTCTCTTTGCTCTACAGTTTAACAGTCAAAAGAGGCATGATCCCACAGACATCAGACTGCATGGCCTTATCCTATCCTATCCTATCCTATCCTATCCTATCTATTTGTTAGGATAAAATAAAAACCAAAAATGATATGCCATGCAGTGTTAATAAATTTGTAACATGTCAGTGCACCAATATATGCCAGGCACTAGAATTACCCACAATGGAAATAGATCTGCATATTTTTCTCTAGACATTTAACATATATTTTTCAAGTATTAGATCAAATAGGATTAAATGTGATGAACAGTAAATTTTCAGATTTTACAAATTTCTTCAGCATTATAAGTTGATCATCTCAGCATTGCTACCTGTGCACCTAAATGACAATTTAATTATTTGGTTGAAAATGTTTTTAGATATGCTTTTAAGCATACTTATGAAATCATTCTAGTATTAATTTCATGTAGTAGAAATAAACGTATAATATAAATACCAATAAATGATCAGGAGAGTTTTTATTTCTTTCTAAAAAAACAAAAGTCCAAACAGAGTCCACACATTTCTAGCGTCCCTTTGTTGTTGTTTAACTTCCTGTAAGGAAGCTAATAGATGAGGTCTACCACTTAAAGGCAGATTGACATCCAGTGGATCTTTTGACAATAACAGATCAAAAGCAAGTGGTAGAAATTGCTGAAACAGCTTAAGTTAATTTCAGTGCATGTTTCAGAAAAACATAGGGACTCAAAATGTGCTCTACCAAATGACTGAGCAGAACATTAAACGGTAACTCCCGGGAAAGTTCATGAGCGCACAAACTGTGAGCAGGAGATTGCTAAACACTCTTTCCCTTTAATTTCCCTTTTAAAAGAAATGGTGTCATTCATGACATAATACATATTTTATGACAGAAATACCACAATTATTTACTGCCCACGACAGAGTCACATGCAAAAAACCAACAAACAGAATATTGTAAAACAGTCCATCATCCATTGGCTATTTCAGAAAGTAAAAAAAATAAATAAAAAAAAATCAATATTCTAGTACATGGAAGCTACAATGTTTCATTTGATTAAGGATTTTTCTAATTTAACTCTGATAAACTTGGCCTACTGCTAAAAAATTCCATAACAGTATTTCAAGTTTTGTTACATTAATATTCAAAAAGTATAAACAGCACGTACCTGTCTATTTCAAGACACACAACCAGAATCACTGAAAGACTGCTGCTGACAGTTGCTTACAGCTTCTACAAGTCAACTAAGTCACAAAAAGTCAGCAAAGTAACCTGAGCTACAGTATTGCCTCAGCAATGCCACGATGTGATGCCTCCACACCACACTACATTTTATACGATAAAGAGTTATTGAGTATTGGGTTTACAAATTAATGTAATTTTCAAAAGCTGGACGTTTCTGTACTGTAAATACTGTAAATCATTTTTGAATCATCTTAGGAATTACTGTAATAATTTGAATTTTGATGATTTCAATCATCAAAATATAGAAACATCCTGGATTCAGGCATGTTGAGGCGGCTCGATGGATTGCGCCTGAGCCACAGGGTCCACTCAGATGCAGCCAGAAGAAGTAACATTGGCCCATCCTGTTGTGAGCTCATCACCTGCAGAAGGTGTCATAGAGATCGGGTGCAATGTGGCCAGCACCCAAATGTGGATGCCCTAGAATTCAATTTCTACCATTGGAAATAGCTCCTGGGACATGGAATGTCACTTCTCGCATGAAGAAGAAGCCTGAGCTTGTCCGTGCAAAATATAGGTACGGGCAGGCCAAGTGGAGCCTTGGACTAAGCCTTTCAGTTGGCCATGAAGCAATTCTGACAAACCATAAGTGATCCAGTAGCACTGTGTATAGTGGGGATGGGGTGCCGCTGACTGAGGATGTAGTTATGCATTCAAAGGAATACTTCAATTCCTATGACATTGAGGAAGCAAGGTCTGTGGACAAGGGCACAACTTGACCATCACAAGGACTGAGGTCACTGAGGCATTTTAACAGCTCCTTAGTAGCAGGTCCCCTCAGGTGGATAAGATTTGCCTTGAGCACTTCAAGCATCTTGATTGTGTTGGCCTGTCTTGGTTAACATGTATCTGAAGCATTGGGTGGAAATTTTGGGCAGTGCCTTTCAGGCTGGGATGGTGGCTCCTATTTTTAAGAAGCGGGACCAGAGAGTGTGCTCTAATTACATGGG